TCGCTGCGTGCGGCGTTGGCTGTGCGTCGCGCGTGCACTGGGGGCCATCTGTGTGTGCACGTGGATGTGTTGTGCCTCTGTGTGTGGTGTGTGTGTGTGTGTTGTGTGTGTGTGTGTGTGGGTGTTGTGTGTGTGTGTGTGTGCTGTGTGTGTGCGTGCGTTCATGCCAGTGTGTGTGTGTGCGTGCATGTGTGCATTCATGGCATGATGTGCGTTCTGCTTCGTGCGGGTGCCGTGGGCCGTCTGCAGTTGTGCGTCTGAGTCGGGTGTGCATCCTTGCTTCGTATGCGTGCACGCAGTGGGTGACATCTTATGTGCGTTGCGATGGTGTATAGGTACCGTACGTGGCACGCGTGCGTTGTGTCTCATAAACAACACTTGTTCTATAGGTCGCACAGTCGAGCATCAATCCATTCACATCATTACGTGATCAATAATGGACGCCTACCGTGGCGGGTGGTGCAGCAGAGCCTGGACTCCCTCAAACGTGTTAGCCTCCGTGCGCGAGTAGAAAGCCACTGTGCACTACCGGGTCCATCTGCTCAGTGACATCATTGCGCCGGGTGTCATCGGGCAGTGGAATGTCTTGCAGGCGAACCGATGCAGGCATGAATAGCAGCTGCATCACCCACTATACACTATGCCTATACACTGTTATCTGTGTTTCCTTTTCTGTATATTACTGTTATCGTCATGTATATTATATTACTTTTGTATAGAACTTATATATATCTGATATATATTATATAATTTCCTATTAGTTTACGGGCTGCGCCACAGATGGCGGTGCGGGCGTTGCGGGTGGCGCACATCTCTCTTAAATTGTTTAAATCTGCCGGTATTTGTGTGCTGGAGCTCTTGATTTTCATGCAATTCATACCTTATTTTACTCAAATTTTACTCGGAGCTATGGTCTTCTAAGGCAGGTGCAAGTGCCAGTGAGTAAAAAAAAAAAACATCACAAATAAGATTCGTTACAAATTTAAGGTTTCTACGCAGTGCATGGTGCTTTAGAGACCATGGGCAGCGTATTTAGTTGCTCAGAGGTGTATTGTGGAATTGTTATTATATGACCTTCCTCTGGTCCGGAAAAACGGATTGTGTAAAGGCCCCAACAAGGGTTGCTGAAAAAACCAGTGGTGTACCTGTATATATATATAAAATGTGCTATTATTATATATATATATCATAATAGTGTTATACACACTTTATATCCACTGCCCTATATAGATTGTATGAATTGCACCTATATATGCATGGACTATACTAATACCTGTTCGTACACTGTACCGTGGTAGAATCTTCAGGCTGTAGGTATTGCAACTCACCCTAGTTTAAACAAGTTGTCAACTTGTACAGATCAACAGCCTCCGGTCGCTGGCAGTAGTGTGTGGGTCCAAGTATGACAGCTTTGTGCTGCGTAACATCACAGTAGACATATGAGACGTCGCCGTAGGTCATTCGCATGCATGCATAAAGAATATCGGTTATGCCAAAATAACGTACATCGTATATGAGTAAATATGTGTATGTATTTAATTTGATGACATCTCTAATTCCAAGAGGAGACGAGATGAGACGAGAGATGAAGTGAGAAGAGAAGAGCGAGGGGGAGGGAGAGGAGCTGGAAGGAACGCGAGGAAGAGAGAGAGAGAGGAGAGGATGAGAGGCCCGAGAGGAGGAGAGAGAGGTAGACGATGAGAGATGACGATGAGAGGAAAGGGATGAGATAGGGGGTATAGGGTGATGAGGAATGACCGAAGAGTGACGCCAAGCATAGGGGGAGGGAGGAGGAGGTGGGAGAGAGAGGAGAGAGGATGAGGAGAGAGTGTTTTTAATTTCAAGTGACAGCTGAAAAAAAAGAGAAAAAGCATGTGAGACGCGGCAGAAAGGGACAAAGAGGAAATTGAGAAGAGATAATCGAAAGGGATTAGAGTAGGAAAGAGCACAGAAAAACTAGAGAGCGATGAACGGGAGAGCAGATGTTACGAAGGAAAAATCCGCACGAAAGGAACGACAGATGAGAAGAGTACGAGCAGAAGGCCTGCTGGGCCAAGATAGATGGAGTATACTATAGTACACCCTGCCAGCCCGCGATCAACAGGCAACAGAGGCTGTGTTCAGGTGTCTTTCGGCGCCCGCTCTAAACATCCGCCCCTATTGAGTAACGTAGCTCGCAAGGATAGTCTCACCGATGGGACAATCGC